GTGAGAACCATCCTTACACAACTTAATTATAAGAGTAAATTAATAAAATGATCTTTCGAGCTAGTGAGGCTATGAAAAAACATACGTTCATGTACGTTAAATCTTTGTTACTTATTAATTACTCACAATATATATGGAGTATACGAACTCTTTTCGTCCTCAAATAATAAAATATCCATATAAAAACTAGTTATGGTTACGAGTTCTAACATAGATTTCGATCAATATTATTGCAGAAGTATCGAATCTATATGAAGAGAATTTATGACGCCTGTATGAAAATCGAAGAATATGGTGTTCCTCTTGATTGGAATCAAATGTCAAGCTTAACTTATAATGAATTTCCAGACCTTGTTCACAACACCTTCTTGCTTAACTATGCAACTGCAATGTTTATGAAAGAGCTTGAAGAAGACAAAAGTAGGACAAGATTCAAGAGAAGGAGAGCTGTTACTCAATTCTGGCAGAATTATGGAATGCCATTACTTGGTAATAGTACAAACACATCTGGTTATGGTATTGGTTTATCGCCGTCTTTGGCACCACCATCATCTCAGGGGCTTGGTAGCTTGTACACCCCCTATCAACCCATTTCACCTCTTGTCACACCAATTTCGAGCAATGGTACTATTGGTGCGACTAGTGGTGTTGGTAGCTTGTACACCCCTTATCGGCCCATTTCACCTCTTGTCTCACCAATTCCGAGCAATGGTACTACTAGTACTATTGGAGCAACTAGTAGTGTTGGTAGCTTGTACACCCCTTATCAGCCCATTGCACCTCTTGTCTCACCAATTCCGAGCAATGGTACTAATTTTACTATTGGTGCAATTAGTGGTGCGAATTATTACCATAATATTTTTGGTAATCGTATGTGTAACAATAATGTACCATGGTACATGCTAGAGAGTAACGTGCCAAATCTAGGGGGCAATGGTGGTGCTAATGGTGGTGCTTCGGTTGGTACACAAGGTCAAGCCGTTGCACAAGGGCAACTCGGATATGCTGGGTTATTACAAGGTTGCTTAGGCAATAATGGTACGGGCACACAGCCTCAAAATGTGATGACACAAGGGCCATTCGGATATGCTAGGTTACATGGCGGCGGCCCAAGTAATGGTATGGGTATGGGTATGGCTATGGCTATGGATAATGACGGAGTATTATTCGCAACTCCATATCAAGGAATTGGAAGTCATCATCAATTTAATGGAAATGTTCCTTACTATCCTGGAGGCATACACAACTTTACTAATGGCAACAACATGATGCAACAATCTTCTATTGGTAATATGCCTAGTAATTTTATTGGACAATCTTATGGTGTTGCTAATTATATGCCAACTTACATGAATCAACATCTTGGCACCAACTTTATGCCTCATACTACTCCTGTGCCTGCCATGCCTACTAGCTATGTCGCGTCTTCTACTACTGATCCAACGACGACTAGGCTGTCCAACTTTCCTACAGAAACCAGTGTCCCTCCTGTGGGAAGTAGGCCAAATTTCACCCTACCAAATTCTTTTGTAAGTCCAATGGGTGAATTCTTCAACTTATCACAACAACCTTTCTCAAAAATAGCTACCATGATTAATTTGTCCAAGCGTCCTACTACTCCTTTGGGAGCTTTGTGGAACCGTGCCGCGCAATCTTCTTCTGAGGCCGACTGTGGTCCGCCCCCTGTGGCTGACTTGTCTGACTTTGCTGAGCAACCTGACCCTGCAGCTGATGTTGTTGACATTTCCGACGATTCTGAGCAAGCACCTTCTGATGTCAACGTGCCCAACTCCGTTGATGAGCAACCTGATCAGCCTGATGTTGCTGATACATTGTCTGTGGAGCAACCACCTCTGCCTGTTGCCGCTGCTACGCGCAACATGCCCAATTCTGTTGCACAACAGACTCAAATTGTTTCTGATAACTCGGACAATTTGAGCAACATATCATCTGGTAATCAACATGTGGTTACATTTACTGAGCAATTGGCTGTGGCAAATCAAGAGAGTAATGGCTCTTCTGCATCAAATGATCAACAAGATCAGGTATGTTTTCTTTGCATCCAATTAATTATGTTCAATCAATCCATTTTTTGTTATTTCGTAGTATTTAATTTATAATCCATTTACTTCCTCTGTTTTTATTTTTTTTAGTTCACATATTTTTATTATCACTTTTATCAATACACAAGAGGTTAATATCGTTGTAAAAAAAAAAATAAAAAAAAAAAAATCAATGGTTATATCTCTAATTATCAATAAGACCATAAGTAAAAATTATAAAATATTACTATTATGAACATATATATTGAGGTAATCCTAACAAACAATTTTGTTTTATCATTACTATAGATCATAAAAGGTACGGTCGGTAATCAAAGTAGAATTTGTAAATAATGTCAAAAGTCAAAATATGTCAACTAAGAAAATGAAACAAATATTATTACATTGGTATGTAAAGATAGTATGATGTTCGCATAATCTTTTTTTTGGTAATGTAAATTTCCTGATATCTTTCTATATCCATAGATAATAAAGCCAATAAATGCAAATCATGATACTAATATCTTAAAATATATGTTCAAAATAATTAGTACTCCACAATACACATCATAAATTCACAAGTTTATAACATACCATTCCTTAGATAAACAAATGCGTACATGTTTATATGCTTATTTTCCCATGCCTTTTGGACTTATATACATATGCTGTGCTTGTAATATTTGTAGGAAATGGAGGGCTATGGCTTCAATAGTGGAACCTCGAATCACCTCGAAAATTGGTTATCACATGTTTATGGTGATGAATATTCCATGGTACGTACACAAACTACTTCAAGTTTTTCACTTGATTGGCTCAATTCTATATGCTTTTTACCAAGTTAGTTTATCTAGTCTTGTTGGTTATAATTTGTTGAATATTGGAATAACTAATTACGGAATAACTAATTTTTAGACGTATGTCAATTTTAAATATCCTAAAATAGTAGGTGTTGCATGTAATTTAAATAGAGGGGTAGTTGAGATATCCCAAGCATAGTACAAGTTATAAATTTTACTAGGATTGTATATTGCTTGATATATGACTATGTTTTTGTCTATGTTATGTAGGATCCTATGGATGCAATTGCTGCCTACTTAATCAACGATCCTCAGATTGATGATGACAATGATACATGTCTGGGAGAGTATTGAAGAGGCGTTCGTTGGTCCTTTCATCTAGGCGAATTTTCAAATAAGAATAAAGCAAAAACAATCTATTTGCTAATTTATTTCTTAAATAATGTTGAACTTGGTTTATTTGCTATGAAAATGGACTAAAACAATATGATTTTTGGACTAGTTTTCTCAAAATATTATGAAGTTTGAATTATTTTGGAAAATGATTCTAAAGTTATATGGGAAATCTTCCAAAAATGGTTTAAAAAGCTCCATATTTATATGGGGTGCATTTGAGGAAAATTAATCCTAAGAACTTGGGACTATTCCAAAATGAAATAGAACTTTTTAATCAAAAAATGTCCAAAGTTATATCTGTTTTAGTCCATTTTTTCTTTAATAATATTGTTTAACAATGGATTTGCTTTTGGTTTGTACCTGAAGTTTGCAATTCAGGGAATAATGATAATTGGATGATTATCGATCTATTTGCAAGTTATATATTTACAGGTTAGAAATAGATTTATGTATGCAAATTATATGCCTACTATATCTTGAGTACCATTACATGGTAATCAAGTGATGGCCTTGCACAAAGAATTAAGGTCCAAGAGTTAAACAAATAGATTACGCCAGGGGTGATAACAAGATGAGCCGAGCTTGAGTTCTTGAGCTTAGCTCAACTCAAGATTTTAGCTCTTCTAGCTATTTAGCTTCGATTTTATCTGAAATATTTTTAAATTTTTTAAAAGCATGCTATAGTGCATGTATAATCACAATATCTTAGACCTACTATACACTTGAGTGAAGTAACTATGTCTCTTTAATTGATCTATTAGACAGTTAATTATAGATATACAAAGTATAAATGATGAACCAAAAGTTATTACAAGCACATATACTTGAGTTAAGTAACTATGTCTAAGTTGATCTATTAGATAGTTAAAGATACATGAAGTATAAATGATGAGCCAAAAGTTAAATTATTACAAGCACATAGAGCACAAAATATTTTCAACTAAAAAAAAAAACATAGAGCACAAATATTCAATTAAGAGTATTGGCATAGTCCTTGAAACCTTGACGCACCTTGCTCGTGAATAAACTGCTCGAAAATCCAAGATTTGATCTCTAAATTTACTGTGTTGAAAAACCCAAGATTATGTAAAGGGTAATCTTGTATCGAATATTCGAATCCTTGTGTAAATTCTTAATTACGGAGTACTCCTTAGAAATTAAGTTACTCATCTAAAATCTATCCATAAAACATTAAAAATTACGGTGATGAAGTCAGCATATACACAAGTTACGAGAATCTTCTACATATTTAAAGGAATAGAAAAACCTTAAAGAACGAAGGGAGTATTTTAATACTTTAACAATAATTTGACTAAAAATGTTATGTTTTGAAATCTAAATTAGTAAATACACCCGATTATACCATAGATACCGCGGTAATACACGGTACCGGCGTTTGGCCCCACCCAAAGTCTTGCAAGAACAACCGTGAAGGTGGAACTCCCTCTATAGCTTTGCCCTGCGTCGAAATTTCTAATTTTTACCAAACAGTTTTCTCTTTATCTGGCCAAAAAATAATTCCTAATATTTTGACTTTCAGTTCATCTTCTTACTCTGAAAAAGTGAGAGAGAAACTATTAAAAATTGGATAATTATTTGGAATATCTCAATTATTTGTCGTAATCTACTGATTTTGTGGTCTAGATATCAACAACCCCATCTTCCCAATTTTATTTTTTCTTGCAAATCTCACTAAAAAATCATCAGGTATATTTCTTCATCTCTCTCAAATTATATATTTGCACAGTTTAATTACTAGTTAGGATCTGCAAGATTCCATTCTTATTCTTTTAGTTACTTCACATTGTTTATATTATAGGAAATTTGATGGGTTTTTTTAGCAATTTGTTTGCTTTCTTTAATGTTCTTGAGTTGATTATGTTGTAATTTTGTTGCGTAAGTAGGTTAATGTTGTTGATGATTGTCATTTTCTGTTGATATTATTAATTTTATCAAAAAAATTGACAAAGTCAGAGGAATACATGTCTAAATTACTATATTTCTGCAATTATAAGTTTCTAAGAAAAGACGATACTTGTGGGAGGAAATTGTACTTGAGAGCTGACCTATTGTTTGATTAACTAGTACATAGTACTGTTTTAAGGTTGTTATAGTAATTTGTTTCTTAGTCTGACTTATCTTCTAGTAGTATTTACATAGATTTTCCTTGGAATTTCCATTTGTTTGATGCTAAGAAGCTTGTTCTTGAATTTTGGAAATAGTGTATGATCAAGATTTTATCTAGGTTGTTTTCAAGATAATTAAAAATATTTATATTGCACTTTCTATCCGCGTTCCCGTATTCTTAGGCATGGAAATATCTACAATGTAAATTCTTTATGCTGTCTTTGTCAATGTGAGGTGAGGCATGTAGTAATTTGGAAAATTGGTCGGTATTCTTGGTCGATGTGGCTTGGTTAGAGAAGAAATTCAATTTAATAAAGACCAAAAAGGCTATATATACACTGAACTTCTAATTAGGTTCTTTCTTCCTCTTTTTCACTTTTTCATTAATCTTCCTGATTCATGTCATCATATGTTTTATGAGGTTCTGGGCCTTCTGGCTAGTATTGAAGAAGGGAGAATTTTTAAACGGGTTCATGGGGATCCTTCATTAAGGTGTTTACTTACTTATCCTTCATGTGAAGTATTTGCTAATCTATGTAATATGCATTCGGTTATCCTTTTTAGTGTCAGGAATGGAAACACCCTTTTCATTTAAGATTGAGATTAGTATGTTCATAGTATTGATGATCTTATTTGATTCTAGTACTACAGTTTTCTGCATTTCATTACTTGTATTGGTGCATATTCTGTAAATATCATCCTTTTTTTTGGTGAACTTTTGAACGCTGCTATAATATTCTCAATAGAAGAGTTAACAATAATGACCACAGGTCCTGATTATCTCTTCTTTCTTGTAGCTATATTTGCTGTTGTTGATGCTTTTCGTACTGGTCTAGTTTAGAGAATTGAGGTCTTTAAAAGCTGATCAAAAGGAATTGGCTTCAGCTTTAAAGGCACATCTGGTTTAGAGAACTGTGTTGAAGTGGTGATTCAAATAGTTGATGAAAAGAGAATTTGTCTTGGATTTCAGTTACAAGGCACCTTTTGATTTGAGGTGCTGATACACACTCTTCTGCAGCTCTGCCTCTGTTAAAGGTTCTCGTCCTGAACTCCTGATTCAGTTTAGAGGATTGAGGTGATTTCAATAGAGAAATTATCAAACAGCTATGGGTAGCCAGCCGTGGGAGGAACATCATGTCCTACCTGAGCTTAAAGAAAATTTGGAAGAACTGTTTCCTGGTCTTACTATTGAAGAGGCTCTTCAGCATCAGGTATATCTTTTAAAACTTTCCAAGGATGGTTCTTTCCATGTTTCTACAAAATTTTATGTGTAAGTTTGATGTGCTGTATTTGAAATTAGAACATAGCTGACCCTTGTTGTTGACTTTTTTTAATTTTTTATTTACATCTCAGGAAAGTCTTTACCAGTCCCTAAAGATTAGCTGTCTAACTATAGACCAAATAGCTAGATCTTCTGACAATGAACCAAGCAGTAGCCATGAGCATTCATGGGGAGAATCATCATTTTCAGGAAGTTGTGACTATGATTTGGCATTGGATGAAGCTGTGGCTAGATCTTTGCAAGAGTTAGATTTAGAAGAAGAAATTGATCATGATGCCATTTCAGAATCACTGCGTAGTGCTTCTAGTAAGTAGTACAAGACCAAGCCTGTATTGAATGCTGAAGTTTCTGGAACTCAACTTCTTTCCTTACTTTAGTAAAGCCTGATATTTACTGATCCACACTTCTTTGAATGTTGATCGAACTTTACCTTTTTTTTAATTTTATTTGTTTTCCACTGACTCATTTTTGCTGAAGTGCTGTGGGGGTATAAAGTTCTTTTTAAGATTGATGTAGAAAATGCATTTTCTTTTGTTAATACTCATTCTGTATTCACGGGCTGCAGCAGATTGGCCTAACATTCCTGAAATCGGAAGATGTTAATACTTTTATTGTTAAATTAGCTTGATGTATGTAGTATATTTTCCTGTGATCATTGTTGCCGAAGTATTGTGGGGTATTAATTCTAGCCTGGTTGTTTCTAGAATTGGACAAAGAAATGCAATTTTTCTTCATGTTAATACTCATCCTATGCTCACATGCTGCGGCAGGTTGGTGTATTGGCACTAAGATTCCTGAAATGGGAATTATATTATTGTGGGATTATAACTTTTTAGGTCTTTTGCCCATCTAAGAAGCTGTTATCTATGCCTGTGTATCTCATTCTCTCACAACCTCTGAGCTTCTCTACTCCTTTCTGAGATTTATTGTTTCAAATCTTTGTTTTCCTTACCTCTAGAGTACCATTTAAATTATTTTTTGATTCTCATTCGCTGCATTAGTCATTGACTTTGTGACGTTGTTTTCTGTTTTTGATGCTCATACTCAAATAAGTGTTACTTGCACAAAGCATGTGAGGTAGTGACCAGATACAAGTGAATATAACTTTTCAGCATGGAAACAGTAAACCTCTGTAGTTCTTGTGGCATCCAGTGAGGTCTCATACTCCATCTACTCGTATGGACTTTGCTGCCAATGTCTCTTAACAATTCTTAGATTTTTTTTTTTTTTTTAAATAATAAATTATTTGAGTTAAAGGCTGGTTTAGCATGTTGGCAGCTTGCTAAATCATTTCCTTTAAAATTTGATCTTACTGGAGGAACTTGTCAGTCTAGGATTGGTTTAAGACTTATAGACAATGATTTTTACTCTAATTGGCATGTATAATATTTTAATCTGATACGACTCATGCGAGCTTGATTCTTTGCTAGAGTCTTACCATATTTGTTTTGTTATCATTCATTTTGTTATGGTCTTAGTTCTAGACAATTTAAGCTTAAAATGTGCTTTTGCTCAAATGTGATTACGTCAATTGTTTTCTATGAAAGCTTCTTCCTTCTCGTTCTTTGCTTTCTTTTGTGTCATACTCATTTGTTCTTTTATGTTGACTTCTTAGAGGTATCTCGAAGCCCATTATGGTGCTTAGTATTGGGAAGAAAGTGAACTGTAGATGGCCTATACATGTTTGTGGATGTGGTCAATGTGATCGGATATGTTCTAGTTTCTTGACTAGTCACTTTGTGTCGTTTGTCTTTTCTTTACCTTCCATTTTTCATGGAAGGCTCACTGCTGTATACCTGTTCCCCGCCCATACTTGAAGAAAACCTGATGTCTAACTAAATATTAGAAAGTTAATACGCAGTATACATTATGTGGAATCATGGTATTGTATAAACTATAAACCTTAACTCTTTTCTCGTATATATAGGGAACTCTGAACCTGCTGCTGCTGGCACATCTGTCTCGGTAATTCGATTAGGATCTTTCACACATAAATATTTAATCTACTTCGTGTTACTTTTTGTCTGAAAAGGCAAGCCTGTCACTTTCATGCTTGCAGGAGACAATTCAGGATTCCGTTGATCCAGATCAAATGACTTATGAGGTAAGTTGGGCATTTTTATCTACATTTTCATGTTAATTAACTCAAGTTTTCTCTCTTTCTGGTTGAATTTGTTTGTATGAATCATTGAGGGCCTGTGAGGCCTCTTGTGGGCTTGTTGCAAAAATCCACACAAGCTGGCATTTGTTTCCTTAACCTGTTCTTCAAAGTAGGTTTTTATGCTCATGTAATCAGGATTGGTTTATTACTGTGTTACATTTTAAAGCTTCATGGTCACCTAAGAAAGGGATCGTGCAACTCAGACCGTAAAGAGTCCAGATGCTCACATTTTAGTGTTACTCTTTTTTTTTTCTTTTTTTTTTTAAATTATTAGATTTATTTTTTCCTATTTCAGGAGCTGCAGTCCTTGGGGGAAGCGATTGGTAGTGAGAACCAAGGATTATCTAAGAGTGAGATATCCAGTTTGCCACGTCACACGCACAGATCTGGAATTTTCTCAAAGAAAATTGATATTGGAGAGTAAGTTTACTTCCTCCTCTCTCTATCTCTATCCTCCCTGTCTCCTGAAAATGAAATGAAATGAGGAATTGGTAGACATTTGTTTGGAGGTTTTATGTGGTCATCCAATCAAAGTTATTTTTCCAACAATGGGTGAACTTAAAATAATGGATGAACATAATGTTCCTCAAAAAAAAAAAAAAAAAAAAAAAAAAAAAAAAAAAAAAAAAAGAAACACATAAAGTTCCCTTAAGTTTGAGCTTCTGTTTGTGAATTCTAAAAGTTCTTAAAGGAGAAATGTGCATCTGATTCTGGTTTTTGTAAATTAACATGTCATACCGATGAAATTTTGCTTGCTTTTTTACTTTTGAACTACCAATGTTAGAATATGATTATATGATGCAAATTCAAAATTTGTATACCTTCTTGGTTTGTCTTAGAGTGTTGTTTTTGTCTTACTGATCAACTTTACTGATGGTGCAATGCATTTTCAGCTGTGTGATCTGTTGTACAGCATATAAAAACAGGGATTCTATTATCAGTCTGCCCTGTTTACATCAATATCATAAAGATTGTATAGAGCCTTGGCTGGTGAAGAAAAGGGTAAGCTAGTTTTCTATTTTCTTTTCCTCTATATTATTCGATGTGTTAATTTTACTTAAGTGTTGCTTCGCATTTAATCATGGTCTTGGTGACTTGTCCATGGTGAAAGGTTGTGCAAATGTTCAATGTTGATTCACAAATAGAATCAGCCATAACCTAATATCCCTCTTTCATTTCTGTACAATTTGAAGAGTTTTTTTTGGGGGTCTCATCTCTGATATCTTGGTATTAAAGGTACAGTAGATTAGTAGATACATCTTTGCCAGCTACTTTAGCGTCATCACCGATCAACATTGAAAGAATTTTGCCTTGCATGTGCATGTGTTTCTGCTTATTTCAGCGTGTCCCTTGTCACTTTGAAAGCTTAGCTTGAGTACTGTAGAGATTGGAAAAGGACTAATGACATCCATTTGAGGGTTGTTCAACTTATGTTATCTGACATTGTTTGCTAACTCTGTGGATCAGATTTCTTAGATTGCCTGGCTGTTAGCAACTTAGCATCACACAAGTTACTGTCAGAACAAATTGTACAATTTTTTATATCTTCCTTGGTAATAGAGGCATAGTAGGCTGGATTATATTGGTCAAACAGGCTAATTCTGATCGTACGTGTCCCCATCCACCGGCCTAGTCCTTTCTCCATCCCTTACCCGCAAAAAAAAAAAAAAAAAAAAAAAAAAAAAGGTGTGTGGCCTAATGGGATGCAGAGTGTTATATTGCTAATTAAGTTCTTAAATTTATAACATTCCTTGTGTTTTCAATTGATCTTTACTTGGAATGTTTGCTTGCAACTTTGGGATTATATTTTATAATGGTGTAATGGGACTTTATTTTGATAATTAAGTTGCTAACCTTTAATATATCTTGGGAGTTCCTAGTTGATAACTTGCAAATTTGGAATGCTTGTTTGCAAATTTAGAATGCATGTGTTTTTAAATAGTTTGATTCCTATCTTTTTTAGATGAGTATGCTTTTTTGTTGACGAACCTGATGCAAACGTTTTATGTTTCATTCAGATTTGCCCGCTCTGCAAAAAGGAAGTGAAGTTGTCATGAGATTGACCTAGCTATGCATCGTGCGGTGCATCCAACCACCATGTTGCTGCAAGTTTATAGTATAAGAAGCACCTAGTTGTGTAAAATTTGGTTGCTTTCTATTGTTTGTTTGTTTGTTTCATTAAGGTGGAAGGTAGAAATATTTTTCTCTTCTGCAATTGAAGATTGACGTGGTTGCATCCATTTGTATGAAAACTCGAGTTATACGTATTATTTAGTATATATGAAGGTTGTAACTTGTAAGGTACCAATGTTTTTCTGAGCTTTAAGTTCTGTGGTATTGCTTTCTCCTCCACCTCATTCAACTGAAGTTGAAGTGCCTTGAGACCTTTGTATGACACTGCCTTACACTATTTTATTGTGAGGCATGTTGGGGATTTTCTAGTAAACAAGGGTCACAAAGAAAAATGGAAATGAAATTAACGAAATGCTTCGAGGCGTGAACGGATCACTTTTCCAAAAATATAATTCCGATCCTATACTACACCGGGTGTCACGGAAATTACTCAGGAGATACAATGAAAAACAATTATAATAACTTGTAGTATTATAGCAATTCAATGTATTAAAGTGTTTTTTATATTTTGCAATAATAAATAATTGATTATAATTTCCTATGCCAAAGTGATAAGATAGAAATAATATTTCATCTATAGCCATTCATCATATGAGGAGTCTCATATATGTATAAAGATAGGAGTATGTCAACTGGCATTTATCAAACAATGCATTAAGTCATCAAACAATGCATTTATCAAACAATGCGTTAAGACATGCATTAAACAATGCATTTATCAAACAATAATGCATTAAGTAATAATAATGCATTAACTGCCAAACTAAATCAAGAGAAATTGAAACCGAAACCATAATAAGTAGTAACAGTTGCAACAATAGTGACGATTCAGCTTACTTTATTTCATTTCTCTTGATTAGTTGTATAAGGATGTTGGGAATGTAAACTCAAATCATATGTTGTATAAGTCATGAAACCTTAACCAAACGACTTAAACTTAACATAACATGAATATTATCAACTAAATACTCTAAAATTCTCCAACAAGGCATTGTAAATTATATACTCGTAACATAGAAACATATACTTCCTCTGTTCTTTTTTACTTGACCTGTTCTTTTATCGCGCTTGCCAATGCAAAACTTTAACGATCAACAACTTTAATTCTCCATAAGTAAAAATTATAAAAGTTATATATTATGATAGTACTTATTGAGACGAATTCAAAAATATCCTACATGAATATGTTTTTCCTTACATATAGTATTAATTACAACTGTATGAGAATCTGTTTGATTTAGTAGATACTATACTGGCATACTGCTATAATATTGCATTGAATTTTCTTCAATTACGTAGTATTTGTGTATACAAACGAGGGTAGCGTTATGTATGTGTATAATACTCGTATACCAATTAAGAAAAAGGTTGTATGGACAATGCAAATGTTCAACATGAATGAGCGAGCCAGTTAAAATGTTGCTACGGTATAAAATCAATGTGTTCCTTGCTGACCCCCTAGAGTATTGTAATAGAACTTTACACAATTATGAATTGGGCTAATTGTGCATTAGTTGTATGGGGATAATATAAGCGTCGTTAAAAAGTTGCTATAATAATTATCATATGAAATCAATAAAGGAGAAGTAAATAGAAACATTATATAAAATACACGTGTTGAGTATTGTGATAGAACTTTAAACAGCTAAGGTTAGGCTAACCTAATTGTAAATTAATTGTGTATGTGCACAATACATGTGATAGTAAATGAAAAAGATTGCATGAACAATGTAAGTGTCATGAATGAGTCAGCCAGTGAAAAAGTTGCTACTATGATATGGTATAAAATCAAGTATGAAAAAATAAATAAACAAAAATAGTATAAAATCAACATGTTGCCTTATTGAAATTCAAACAAATATGGGTTATTTAGGCTGGGATAATTGTTAATAAATTACATATTGTGCACAATACTTGTGCGACAATAAATGAAAAAGGTTGTATGGTTAATGTGAGTGTCATAAATGAGTCAAACGGTCAAAAAGTTTCTACATTAATTATCATATGAAGTCATTACTGAAGAAGTAAATAGAAAAAGAATTGTATAAAATACACGTGTTGACTTGTTGACCCTCTTGAGTACTGTTATATAACTTTAAACAACTAAGGGTTGGGCTAATCTAATAGTAAATTAATTGTGTGTGCACAATACTTGTGTGACAATAAAAGGTTGTATGAACAATGTAATTTAAGTGTCATGAATGAGTCAGCTAGTAAAAAAGTTGCTACAATAATTATGGTATGAAATCAAGTATTAAAAAGTAAATAAACAAAAATTGTATAAAATCACTGTGTTGCCTTGTTGATCATCTTGAGTATTGTGATATAAATTTAAACAAATATGGGTTAGGATGGGACAATTGATTATTAATTATGTATGTGCATAATACTCGTATGACAATAAATGAAAAATGTTGTATAAATAATGTGAGTGTCATAAATAAGACAGTTAATCAAAAAGTTGCTACAATAATAATCGTATGAAACCAATAATGGAAAAGTAAATAGACAAATATTATACTTCTTTATATACAAGTGTTGACTTGTTGACCCTTTTGAGTACTGTGATAGAACTTTAAATGGCTAAGGGTTGGGCCAGACTAATTGTATATTAATAGTGTATATACAATACTTGTGTGACAATAAATGAAAAAAGTTGTAAGGACAATATAATTTTCATGAATGAGTGCGCTAGTGAAAATGTTGCAACAATACTTATGGTATCAAATCAAGTTTGAAAAAGTAAATAAACAGGATGGTATAAAATCAATGTGCTGCCTTGTTGACTATTTTGACTATTGTGATAGAAATTTAAACAAATATGGGTTAGCTTAGGCTGGGTAATTGTTAATTAGTTATGTATGTGCACTATATTCACGTGACAAGAAATGAAAAAGGTTGTATGGATAATGTAAGTGTCATAAATGAGTCACTCTGTCACAAAATTGTTACAATAATTATCGTATGAAGGCAATAATGGAGAAGTATATAGACAAAAATTATATTAAATACACTTATACACGTGTTGATTTGTTGACCCTCCTGAGTAATGTGATAGAACTTTAAACAACTGAGAAATGGGCTAGACTAATTTGTATTAATTGTGTACCAATAAATGAAAAAGGTTGTATAGACAATATAAGCGTAATAAATGAGTCAGTGAAAAAGTTACTACAATAATTATAGAATAAAATCAAAAACGAAAAAGTAAATAAACTAAAATGGTATAAAATTAACGTGTTATTTTGTTGACCCTTTTGAGTACTGTGATAAAATTTTATCAGTTATATGTTGGGTTGGGCTAATTGTAAAGTAATTGCGTATGTGCACAATACTTGTGTGACATTAAATGAAAAATGTTGTATGGAAAATTTAAGTGTCATGAATGAGCCCGTCAGCCAAAAAGTTGCTACAATAATTATGGTACGAAATCAATACTGAAGAAGCAAATTGACAAAAATCGTATAAATTACAAGTGTTGACTTATTGACCCTCTTTAGTACTGTGATAGAACTTCAAACAATAATGGGCTAGGTTGGGCTGATTGTAAATTATTTGTGTATGTGACAATATTCTAAGACAATTAATGAAATACTTGTAGGTTGTAATGTTGTATGGACATTACAAGTGTTCAACATGTTACTGTAATTTTGTTCCTTCAATTTTGAGATTCTTTTATTGATTATTTTTGGATTAATTATACTTACTTTAATTACTTTATCAACATTTCTTTTTGTGAAACGCTAAACGTCGCCCTCATTTTATATACTAATGCCCACATTTTAATTTGATCAGACCATTTTGCCCCTCTCGTTTTTACTTTCATTTTCATTGCAACTCTTAATTCTCCACTGAAACTTGAAAGTGTCTTATGAGTTTTCTCCTCCATTGAAGCAGCTTATGAGCTTTCTCATCCATTGAAGCATCCTCCATTAAAGTGGACTTATGTGCTTTTTCCTTGAATAAAGCAGATTCTGACTTTCTCCACGGGCTCCACCATTAAAGCACCACCATCTCCCCACCAACCACTAACCCCATCGCCATCACTGTCTCCTCATCAATCACCACCACTAACACCAATAGCCACCAGGACCACCACCACCATCAAAGGCTTTGGAAGTTGTTTTATTTAAAAAAAAATTAAGAAACGCCTAAATATATTGTAACCTGCGGGTGGAAACACCTAGATTTTTCATTGCCACCTGCAAGTTACGAAATATCTAGGCGTTTCCACCTTAGGGTATCGAAAATTTTGGGCATTTTTCGACCACCATCAAAAACTCCTTCGCAGTTCGCACCCCACCTAGCTTCTCTGCCGCCAATTCTTACCAATGGTTCAATGGGAGCAAGAATTTCCAGTAGCAACATTTGGAACAAATTTTAAACTCCTAATTTTTTTTGTTAATAAAGGATTTCTACTTTCTAGAGGTCCAAATTTCAATCATATAATGTGGGAATACTCCTATGTTGTTACGTGTTAATTTTGTCATATTGATTGTTGTGATACTTTGGGAATAATGGATAGTGTATTACTATATTAACTAAAATGATAATGTGCTCAATGGATGAAAGATTGAAAGCTCATAAGCCACCTTTAATGGAGATGGCTGGATGAGAGTGAGAAGGAGAGGGGGGCAAAATGGTCCATTTAAGACTTTAAGTTATAAAATGGGGGCATTAGTATGTAAAAAGAGCGTTTAACAACACCCTTTTTTTTCCATCTACATTTATTTATATATCGTTTTACAAAATCTAAATGATTATTTCAGCTATTTTAAACTTACACTAAATTTAACATTTAAGAAAATCAGATGTACAATAAAATATTGTATATCGTTATAAAGTTACCTTAAAATGATCAAAAGTTACCCTTTAATGAATGAAAGTTATCCAATATATATAAGTTACCTTGATGTAAATAAAAATTATTTATGCTTTATTAATAAAAATTACACAAAAAAGTCTAAAAGTTACCTTAAATTCAATAAAAATTACCTCGATGTACAATAATATTACTATACATCCTATATATATAATAGTTTTTGTACTCCTTAATATCTTATACGAAGTTAAATAGAGAATTAGAGCTACATATTACTCGTACATTATATTATTACGAAGTACAATAAATTATGGAGTAGTAAGTTATCGCAACGGGATACGAGTATTTATTTAAATTATTTCTCGTAATTAATAAATCAGTACTCCGTACTTTTTACGCAAAAGCTTTTAAGCCAATGACGGTGAGAATTGCACGTGGGTTCACATGACATGAAAGGCTAGAACAAGGAATTTTGCTTAAGTACTACAGTACGGTATTATTTACAGTTGGCGTATA